CTTTTTCATTACTGCGTGCCTTTTTAATTTCAAAATATTTGCCTTGGAAAATTAAAAAAAAGGTTGTTTAATTTTTCATATTAAAATTCTAAAAACAACGAAAAGATTTAGAACTCGTGCTTAGGTTTTAATTATTGTTTTCATTACTGCGTGCCTTTTTAATTTCAAAATATTTGCCTTGGAAAATTAAAAAAAAGGTTGTTTAATTTTTCATATTAAAATTCTAAAAACAACGAAAAGATTTAGAACTCGTGCTTAGGTTTTAATTATTGTCAAAAAGTTTTCACAATTCACCCCCCCCTCTTGTCCATCTAGTAATTTTAATGAATGGGGTCTTAATGGGCTCTAAATAGGTTATTTTAACCTATTAAAGACTTGGTTTGACCAAGTCACCGATTGACTTGGTCAAATCAGTCAAGAGAGTCAATGAAGTCAATGGGTTGAGCCTTGAAGACATGGTATTGGTTTGAAATCAATTAAAAAGCATTTGGGTCAACCCTCGTTGACCTGGTCAACCAGGTTGACCTAAGACCCGGGTCTAGGCTCAACAGACTCAGTTCGACTCACCGAACCCATTGGAGAGGGTCATGGGGTCTGACTTGATTAATTTGACCAAGTCAACTGCTTTGGCCAAGAAATTGGCAAAATCGAGGTCAATAGGCGTAAGTGAGCCGAGCTGGCTCCACTCGATAATGGGCTCGCGAGCCGAGCTTATTGAGCTCACGAGTCGAGCTCGAGCGCAAACTCGAGCTCGATGAGGCTCAGCTCGTGAGCTTGCAAGCCGGCTCGAATTACTATTAGAATTTTTTTATTACATTTAAAAGTTTATTAAAAATTAAGTTCAAATTTTAAATGCTGCATGGTTTTCCGCCTATTTTAAATTAAGTCTCAAATATCAATGTTAATAAATGCCATTAAATGCTTGTAGTTTTACTTTTTATCAAAAGGAATGTTTTATATGCTTTTAGATTTGCAAATTTAAAAAAGTTTTTAGGCAGGTTGGGCTTTCTTCAAGATGACAGCTGTGTGAAAATCGGGAGGGAAAATCTGTGGAAAAACCGGGTGGAAACATTAAAATAGACTGGCACGAAACCGACACAAGTGAGAAATCAAATGGCTCGATGAGCTCGGAACAGTGTTGCGAGTTGAGCTTGAGCTCGAGTTCGAGCTCACTGCCTGACTGACGAGCTGAGGTTTGTAGTACTAAAACTCGACTTGACTCGACTCGTTTATACCCCGACATCAATTCATACATATGCTTGATTCTATACATGCCCTAAAGAAAGCATTAAAGAAATTCTTTTATTTTGCTCAGTAAAGCATTCAAGAAATAAAAAAAAGGAAAAATTATTGAACTCCCAAAAAGCAAGCGAAAAAAAAAACTTCTGCCAGCTATGATCTCTTAGCGGAAAATAAACTTTTTTTGCATTAATTTAATTGCTTCTATACTGCAACAGTTAAAATCATTATTATATGTCTATTTTTGTAGCTATTTTCGAACCACTATAAGAACATACTATTTTAGTGGATCTTTTTATAGTAGTTGATAAAATAAATTTAAAATTAAATTTATAATTAATCAAATTTGATAGGCTAGTCATTAAATTATTTACAAATTTATAACACATTTATATTAAACATCTTTACCCTATTTAAGAAGGGAAATATTTTTTTTTTATTAATGCGGCATATTTACTTTCTTTCATTAAATTATGAAAAAACAAATAAAAAAATAATATTTTAGTTATGATAATTAGATATAATAAAAAAATTAACTAAATTTTAAATAACATTTTGACGAAATATTTAATGGTTGCAGACGAATCCAATCGGGTGGAGCATATGCTTATTATCAACTTGTTTGAATTCGATTTAAATTCTATTTGATTATTTTTATTTAGATTAAAATTTGACTTATTTAAAGATATTTAAATTTAATTTATATTCAGATCATACATAATTTATATAATGCTTATCAAGTTCTAAATGATGGGCTCTAATAAAATAATTTACATGCGGAAAAAAAAATCTCCTATTTATCTAGATGGTAGAAGTACTCCGAAAAAGAAAAAGAAAAAGAAAAAAAAAAAAAAAAAAAAAAAAAAAAATACTCCGCCCGAAATGTGCTTTAAGAATCTTGCTTTCCACTAGCTATATAAACGAATTCAAACGTTCGCCAATCTACTCTGCCACCTGTTGCAATCTCAATTCCACTTCAAAGCTAGCGGCGGAAGAAATGTCGATCGTGGATCGTCTGCTAAACCCTAAGCCGCAGCCACCGGCGGCGAGCCTCAGCCGGATGAAGTCGAATGCCGCTGACGAATTGAAGGCCTTCCGCTCCTGTCTCCGATGGATGGGCGTCGACCATTCTACCGCCAGCAGCGCCGCCCTTTCCTGGACCATCTTCTTCGTCCTCACCATCGCTGTTCCATCCATCTCCCACTTCGTCCTCGCCTTCTCCGCCCACCGCCGCCCCTACGACGCTGCGCTCCAACTTTCCCTCAGCTCCGCCGCCGCGTTGGCTTTCCTATGCCTATCTTCCGCTTACCATCGATACGGCCTCCGCCGGCTTCTCTTCCTAGACGAGCTTCGTCGCGAGAGCCCCCGTGTCCACGCCGGCTACACTGCCCAGCTCGGCCGTTCCTTCCGCATCCTCTCCGTCCTCGTCACCCCTTGCCTCGTCGCTGAGTTCGCCTATAAGATCTGGTGGTACATTTCAGGAGCCCGACGCATCACCTTTCTCGGCAACCCGGCCGCAAGCGATGCTGTCGCCTTTGCCCTCGAGCTCGCCTCCTGGATCTACCGCACAGCCATCTTTCTTCTCGTCTGCGTTCTCTTCAGGTCCGTATCTTATTTGTTTGATTTGATTTTTCAAATTTGGGGATGGGGCTAATTATAAAACTGTGGTGTTTGTAGGTTGATCTGCCAGTTGCAGATCCTGAGGCTGCAGGATTTCGCGGCGGTATTCAGGGAGGAGTCGGAAGTGGAGGCGGTGCTCCGGCAGCATCTCAGGATAAAGAAGCAGCTGAGGGTGACTAGCCATCGCTTCCGGTCCTTTGTCATTATTTGCTTGGTTCTCGTCACTGCCAGCCAACTTACGGTGTTGTTTCTCGCCACCAGGCACAACGCTGATGTCCGCCTCTTCAACACCGGCGAGCTTGCCGTGAGTTCTGTTTCCATTTTTTTTAATTGCTCTTGCTTTACGCTTAATGGTCTGATATCTTGATCATCATGAGCAGATTGGTATAACTTTTATGTTTTTTAATTATTTATTTATGATTTATTTTTATTTTCTTATGTTAAATTTTTTTTTTATTATTTTTATGAAGTAATTATTATTTTAAAAACTAGAAATTTAATATTATTGTAATAAATAATATGCAATACAATAAAGACAAGGGGATTTATAGACATAATGCCTTAAATTCTATCTATATATTTAACTCTCTAATTCAAGGTTGTGAAAATCAGACCAGACAATGAACCGGAAGAAGGAGAGGTTAACGGTTCGACCGATCTAACCGGGGTCGAACTAGATGATGTAATAAATATTAATATTATTAAAAATTAATGAAATTAAAATAATGATATGAGAATCTATTCTTAAACACAAATCCATTCTATCATACATATTAAATATCCAAACTAAGAATGAGTTGGAAGTTTAAAATCAAACTTTATGTTATGTATGTAGATATGATTTATATATATGATATAATATAATTATTAATATAATATAAATATACGAGCATTTAATAATATTTATAAAATTTTTGAAAAAATATAAGAAAAATTTATAAATATAAATATCATCTAAGAATAATATATTTATATATTTATAATTATATATATTTATAAAAAATAATATTTAATATGATATATAAATTTATAATATTAAAATTTATATTATTAATTCTTATAATATATGTTATAACAAACTTATAATCTACATTAAAAAAATTTGCAGCCAAACCAGCTCAAATTCATAGCTTAACTAGCTCAAATTCACATTCTAATTCATATAGTATTCATGCAATTTTTTTAGTCTCACATCATAGGAGTTTGATGTAGTTGTTTTTAATCCTTTATATAGTATGAATTACACACTTTTTTACTAAACACATTATGTGAGATATGTAAGATCATGCATAAATTAAGGTGTAATTAATTATCATATTTAATAAAAATATTTTAAAAAGAAAAAAAAATTAATAAACTAAAATATATTGTTTTAAATTTAATTAAAATAAAAATGATTTTTTTTATAGAACCGGTCAGTTTTTTCCAACCCAGACCGGTTCAGCAGTTCATCGGTTGAACTACCGATTTTTGCCGGTTCAATTTGGTTCGATGCAAAACTAATTTTTAAGCTGGATCAGACCGACCACCAAGGCCGGTTGAAGGTTGAATCGGATGGTCCGATCCGATTTTCAAAACATTGCTCAAACTTTATTATTTATTCATATAACACTTCAAATTTTAAAACATAAAAAATATCATCTTGCTCACTTTGAATCTAAACTTTCGTAAAAAAAAACTTCTCATTCTCATGTTGTTGGTCTTGCCAATGGCTTTCCCAGCAAGATCCCTTTGCGATTTCCTCGCATCTTTATTATTGACCTTTGCACATCGCAATCCTATTGCCAATGAGATCCCATCCCATATTCCACACCTCTACTTTATCGTCAAGAGTGGTCCATCACATGCCGCCATTTTATATATCTTCCACCCCTCTTCTTCGTTATCCATAGTTTTGAGATTTTGAATATTAGAAGGGAGCTACCAACATGATAAATTTGGTTTGGGTTTTAAATATATAAATAAAATAGTTTTATGCACTGGTTGGTTGTTAGTATTACTAGTGTAAAATAGAATAAATGCAAGAGCTTTGAATTTTAGTGTCTTTGATTGCAAGAAAAACGAATATTGAGTAAAATAGCAATAAATTTGAAATTTTATATCTAGTTTATTTTTAATGCATTCTAAATTTTCCCTATTTAGATGTGAATGCTTAATATATTACTTTTGTAGCATCGCTAGAAGTCGCCAGCTTATCCCTCTATACCGCTGTCGTTGGTGGCTTCCCTCCACCACCACCACCTGCCACCCATTGTAGTATTGTGTCCCTTAACTACTGTCGCCCTCCATTATTAGCCACTGGTTGCAACTGGCCGTCGCCAAGTTATACACATTATTAATTTTATTTTAAACAAAACTAAAAAATAATAACCTTCTGCAATTGTATTTTACTCAAGCAAATAACTCAAAAAGCATTTTTAATACACTACATTGAGTTTATGCTATATTTCTTTCACTTTGCATTTCTTTTCAACTAAATAAATAACACCTTAGATGTTATGTTAATCCCTTTAAAGATAATTTAGAAGTTAGCATAATAAATGATAACATTTATCTATAGGTAGAAATTAAGATTTTCATACTCAGTTTTGATTTCAATATTCATGAGTTTTATCTTTTATTTAAATAAAAAAATATTAATATTTCAAATTCTAATTTTAAATTTAATGAAATTATATATTGATAAATCACTAAAAATTGTCTTGACCGAGCACGAATCTTGAGGCATATTTAAGTTGTTATCTTCTAAAATTAAATTCGGGACCATCCGAATTTCAATTTCAATAAACTTACAATCAAATGGAACATCTAAGTAAGACAAACACAACAACATTAAAATTGGTTCAATCCGAGCTCAAATGGGCTTAAATAAAGGGCTTAAAGTATATTGAGAAGCTTTAGAGTATTAATTAAATGTCCAAATGATATTCAAATATAGCATGCTTATAGTCCAATCAAGCGGCTCAGGGAGATGAATCCAATAAGCCTATGATCGCTTATTTTCGACATTATTAAGTTACTTAATTACTTAACAAATGCTCCATGATCGAGGGAATAAATATTGGTCATCCGATGGAGCACTCCAAATCTACGCTCGATTTTCTCCATATTTATGGGGCATGCCATTTCAAAATCTATAAATAGACACCCTCTTCCAACATTAAGAGGAGCTGAGATTTTTGGATGCTTAGACCCTGGACTAGAGAGTTAAGAGAGCTATGACACATGAAGCATCCTGGAGCTCCACCACGGCACCACCGCTGGCGAACCCTCATCGCCAGGCCGCCACTACTGGACCTCTGCCCAAACATCGCCATCATACCTCTGTCCGACAGCCAATGCTTGTCCTTCATATGATCTCCGTCGCTCGTCGACTACGGTCCTTTTGACCACCGTCGTCCCCCGACTACAGTACCTTCGGCCATTTCACCTATGCGCCGGCGTATATCTCTCTTCACATCTTAAATAGAGCCCATTCGCCCTCTTCTCCTATAGTTCAATTTCTGTGAGTTTATTGAAGTTGTTCACAAGTCTTCCTCCTGCTGTTTTTTCCTTTGAAGTTCCCCAAAGAGTATCCGGTGTTGGCTCCTTGGACGTTAATAAGGTGGTGGTCATTATGTACGAGCTTCCTGAGCGGCTACCTCCTGTCTCTCTCTCTAGTTACCTCTAATCCTCCACCAATTGAGCTAGCTTCATAGCCTCTCCTAAGTCCCGAGACCCCATTACTCTAACCGCTGCCCGAATCTATGGTGTCAGTCCCTTCATGAAGTTCCCCTCTAGCAATGTCTCAGAAAGGCGATACAATCGGCTAGCAAGGTACGCGAACCTCTCCCGGTACTTTATCCTTGAACCATCCTGTGTCAAGGCGAAGAATTGCTCGTAGAAGTCTCCTCCCTTGCAGGTTCGGAATGATATACCAAACAATTCTTGAACTCTCTCCAACTCCGTATGGGTCGTCGCATGTCTCTCAATTGGTACCAAGCCAAAGCCTTCCATTCCAAACATAGGCCCGCTGCTGTTAGTTTCTCCTCGTCTGTCAACCCATTGATGGCTAAATATTTTTCAACCTTGTAGATCCACCTGTGCGTATCCTCCCCCTCAAAGATTGGCATCTTCAGTTTCCTCACCCTCGGATCGCCTTTGTTCCCTCTATTCCCTCCATAATTTTCCATTCCCCAAGGTGTTGGTTCTCCCCAAGTGTCCCAATCTTCCCTTCTATGCTCATACCCAAACCTTTCATCAACTTCTCACATTCTCTTTTCAAATTCAGCACCCCTTTGATTATAATAAATTTTTTTCTTTTCAAATGCAGCCCCCCTTCGGTCATATTCTTCTTTCCCTTTCAATATCTGCCCATTTCCTCTCAAATTCAGCACCCATTCGTTCTTGCCCTACCTCTGCACGCCTCTTCCCATACTCTCTACCCTGCTCTTCCCTAGGAATAGGCTATAGGGAAGGTATTCTCTCTTTCGAGTCTCGACCTTCCGATCTTCCCTTTGACTTATTGGTTTAGAGTTTTCTCCACTTTCTGGCTTTCGGTGACTTCCCTCACCTCCGACGACATTTTTTTATTTTTTCCTCTCGAGCACTTTCTTCAACATCTCCCCTAGGATGGAAAATTTTGAATCGATCTTATCATGGATGACTAAAATTTCTTTCTTTAAATCTGAAACTTGAGTTTGTAAATATAAAATTTCAGATTTCATTTGTTCAATCTCCCATTCGAGGCGTTCCTCCAACATATCCACTTTCTTTACCGCAATCGATACCCGGATTTTTGTTGTACTAACAATCTGGATCTCGATTCCAAAAAACAGCAAACCCATCTTCCTCCGGCCCAAAAATAGCTGCTGAAATTTACAGAAACAACCCCAAAATGTCCCAAAATTTGCTATGATACCAATTTGATAGGAAACACTTGAAGATTTCAAGTAAATACTATCAATTTCGAAAAAAAAAACAACAACTAGAAACTCTTCCAAACTCCAATAAAAACTAGAAAATAATTAATTTTAATACAAGAATAAAATAGAACGGAAGAAAATAACATGATACATATTGATCCTCTATTCAAGAGCTATTCAAGAGGAGGATCAATCTCTCCCGAATCTCTAGACGCCGCTAGAGCCCAAAAGAAATCTAAAGAGATCTTAAACTTCAGCAAAATTCAAGATGCCCTAACCCTAGAAAAACAAACTATTTAATGCATACAATCCAAAAGGAAATCTCTAAACAGTCACTATATTCAAATGACCCTCCTAACTCCCTCAAAAATTCTTCCTAAACGGCTTGGGTGGCGTGGGCGGTGTGAACGGCTCATATATATGCGTGAGCCGGTCTCGTGTGGCAGGCTAGAACGGTCCAATGGACAAGTTTAATAGAATTTTCGTGCAACAATCACTCGAAAGATATTTACGATTACTAAAGAGAAATTTTAGCTTTATAGATGTCATTTTGATTGTTGTAAAAGTTTCTGCTCTCATAGAAAAGATCTGCATTGTCCATGCAATTGCTCCAGGATTAAGACCTACAAATAGGTTTTACTCTTAGTGCACACAACTGACAACACTATTACGTTTAAATATTGTTGAGTAATTGAACACTAATTTGGCGTTGGTGGTCGAACATTATTAGTCATATGCATATGACTAACTAATCACAAAAAAAAAAAAGCATAAAAAAATATAACTAAGCTCACAACTGCTCCTTCAGTGAAGTTTAATAGCATCGCATCCTATCTCTTCAAATCAATAACTTGAACCAGGTGCATTATTTTAGGTGAACTTCTAATGTGATTATATGAGTTATTCTTAGTTAGATATAAAAATATTCAAAAGAAGCATAAATGACACCTAGTCATAAAGCAAACCCCAGCGGCTCTCAATCACTCAAAATACACATATAAGACCTAATGTAGAGAGCACCGCATATATGACCCAATATTTTGGGTTTTTATCCGAATGATTCTTCATGTAAAATTACCATCGTAATGTTGCAAAATCAAACCTAATGCTATCAAGGCTCATTTTCGACAAATCAAGCAAATTAGGTTGAACAAAAAACCATCACTCTCCTTTATGACCTCCAAAAGTTTTCTCTCTCGAAGGGACATAAAATATTTTATATTGATATCTCTGTTGTTTTAGTTTTAGACATTAAGTCTCAACCACTAACAGGAAGTCGCAATAAACAATGGTAATAACAATTCCTTACAAACCTTTCTCTAAGTAATTAATTACACCTGAGTTCTTTGCATGAAAGCATTCTGGTTAGATAGCAATTGCTATTGAGTTCTTTGATCTAAATTTTCTGGTTTCACTGCAGCTTTGCTCTATCACATTGGTGACAGGGCTGCTCATATGCCTGCGAAGTGCGGCAAAGATAACCCACAAGGCTCAAGCTCTCACTAGCCACGCAGCCAAATGGCATGTTTGTGCCACCATTGACTCCTTCTCTCACGACCCTGAGGCGCCATGTAACACTCAACTCGAAGAAGGCGATGATGATGATGATGTCGATGATAAGTTTTATGAAGAGGAGGCCAAGTCTGAGGACGAGCTCGAGGACACCAAGCTCGTGCATCCACAAGCTAACACCATCACCTTCCAAAAGCGACAAGCGCTTGGTAGTAGCTAAATTTGAGTTAAATATTTTGGTCAAATTTTATTAGAATTAGAGGAAACTAAGAGCCATTAGATTATGAAGAATAATTAAAATTTATATTATCCTCATCTTAAATCGAAGTAAATTTGATCATATTAACTCATGTGTTGTAACCGATAGCTTGCGTTTACCTTTTGTAGTTACTTATTTTGAGAACAACAAGGCGGGGATTACGATATTTGGGTTCGTACTGGACAGGACATGGCTACACACTGTCTGCATGCTGGAGTTGACCCTGTTCTTATGGCTGTTGAGCAAGACGATTGGGATATCCTAAGTAAATCGATCCCATATTTGATTCATTCTTTGTCCCTGTAAATTAATTATTTGTATTATAAAATGACTATTGCTGTGCTAGCTAGTTATGTTGATCACTGGATACTTCAATCTGCATCGGTTTGATATGAAATCCTTAAAAAATGAATCCATTTATGCTAATAAAGACGTGATTGTGCATATTTTCTAACATTAATAGTTGGGACAAAATACTATAGGGAAGTTTTGTGAGTCTCATATTTTGATTAAATCCTTTTTTTGCTGCTTTGCTTCAGAATACAGCAAGTAAGTAGAAGAAAAAAAATCTTATGAGGTTCCTTTTATAAATTTATTATAAAGAAGGTTAGAGCTTTCAGCTATTGATGACATTATTATAAAGAAGATTAGAGCTTCTCCTTTTGAGCTAGAAAAGAAGGCATATGTTGTTCGATTGGTGATAATATATTATAGACACATATATGATGTGATGATATTCAACTATATTAATAAACACGTATCGATAAAAAATTCTACTAAGCTTTATAAGAAGAATAGATCAAAGTTTTTTTTTAATACCGAAGATAATTATAGGTAATTTATTTTTCTTTATATTAATGACTGAGAATGAATGGAATCATCTACTATAAAAAATAAAATGAGGGCTAAATGTGGATAATAAAATATTCATATTATTGCTGCTAGTATTACCATTTTCATCATTTTTGCGAGCAATCGGTGGTCCTTTTTGCTGCTTGGATTTTGATAAATTATAAAATATCTTTCTCAAGCAAGCTGTGTGCGAAGTGGTACTTGATTTGAATATACTTTATTTGACAATAAAGGATAACACACTTTGCCGAGTTAATGGCACTGACTATCATAATTTGAAGAGTTTAGTTCTTCTAAAACATCTTTTAGCTAACTCATCTGTTTACTAGCTTTACTGATATTAGTTATTGCACCTAACTAATACCAATGTCATCTGAGGAGTAGATACACCCAGTTGTACTTCTTGGTGTACTAGTTCTTCTCTTCAATTTGCTTCAACATACATCCTTCCAATTTCAAGTTGGCATTTTAAAATTTTAGTTAGTGATTAATTAAACCTTTTAGGTAGTATAAGATCCACTTTACAATCACCAGGTATTCTTTTTCTGAATTTAATATAATTAATTGTCTTTTAAGATTATTGATTTTCTCAACTTTAGCTTCCCTTATAATCAGTATGTCATCAACATATAAAAGTAGGGATTTTTACATACATAACACTTCAAACTATTATATTTACTTATCTAACACCCAAAGTATAATATTTACATACCTATCAGTCAAATACACTCTGTTTCATCTAAACAACCACTCCGTCAAAACTCCTTGAATAGCCCACCCCGACTCGTGGATGAAATCTCTTCTTCGTCGCTGAGTGTCTACCTGAAACCTGCAACACCACTGGAGCAGGAAGTTGAGACAGGAGGTCGCTGGAGAAGGCAATCGACGGCAATAGCGGCGTGTGAAGAAAAGATGAGTTGATGAGAAATAGGATTTTGTTGCCGGCGCTACTATTGGCACATGAAGAAGAAGATGGATTGATTGCATCCTCTTCCTTATCATAAAATGCCTTGGCTGCTTGTGATAAGACAAGCTTGATACAAAACATAGCTGAGCAGTAGAGGATAACGAAGAAGTAAAGAAGATATTAAAAATAGAGACTGATTTATTCAAGGCATGATTACATACTACAATGGTTTGTAGTTTTATTTATATAAACATAGGCAGAGAAAACAAATTATAGAAATGCCAGCAACAATTTGTTAAAAAGCAATGGTGAAGATTAAATCTGGTCGCCAGAGGAATCATGAGATTCATGATACTGCAAAAGTCGGCTACAGAGCAGAGAGGCGGAGGATGGATTGAAATTAATAAATGGTGAAAACGACTTTAATGTCGTTTCCCTTCAAGGAATATCTCAAGAGATACGATTCAGGCACAGATGAGACGAAGAAAGCCAATAAGAAGAAGAATAAGGAGAAGCTGAAGCCCCTATCTTCCGGCGGTGTAGTTCTCGTCGTTGACAATGAACCCATATGGCAAAAGCCTGTGCAGTTAGATGATGCCGAGGAGGAAGACAAGCCTTACCATGGCATCAATGAAGATGGAAGCGGGTGGGTCTTGATTTCAAAGCCGTCTAGACACTCCAGGGACCAAGAAGAATGGATTTCACCGCCCAAAAGACAGAGCCGGCACATAGTTTTGACGGAGTGGTAGTTTAGATGAAAGGGGTGTATTTGAGTGGTAGGTATGTAAATATTATATTTTAGGTGTTTGATAAGTAAATATAATAGTTTGAAGTGTTATGTATGTAAAAATCCCATATAACATACAGATACAATAATCAACATTGCATTTATAAAAGTTAATCTTGTTCTTGAATCTTTTAAACTTTTGATACCAATTATATGGGATATTTTCAGACTTTATATTTTTTTGTTGATCTTGCACATTTTATTTTTGGTCATTATATAGCAAAATCTTTATGTTGAACTATGTAGGCTCTTCCTTTTGATAGCCATAGAGAAAAACATTCTTCACATCCATATACTCTAGGTGCATATCTTCTGTAGTTATAATACTCATTGATAATTATATAGCTGATCACAAGAGAATTTTTTTTAGCAAAGTCAATATCTGCCCTTGGAAGCCCTTCACAACCATCCTCCTCTTGTACCTATTGTTACCATTTTTTCCTCTTTGATTTTTTAGTTTCATTTATTTTATAAAGTTTTATATTTATGGATAGCTTAGTCAAAGCCATGTATTATTTAAAGATAATATATCTCTTCTTTCATTGTTAACCCCTACTTAGATGAATATTTAATTTATAAAACTTCTTCATAGTATTTAGGTTCACCTACACCAGTAACTAGAAAATAATGCAAAGAAGAAGAATAATGGTTAATAGGCTTTGAAATTCTTTGTCACAAGATTGTTGGGATGAGGTTAATCTTGGGTGCCTTTGATGTATCTGAGAAGGCATTTGAGGAGTTGATAGTATCGAACTGTCGGACAGTGCATGTGTTGACAAATAACATTGGTTGCAAAAGCAATATTAGGCCGTGGAAAATGCTGTTCGTGAAAGATGTAATATCTGATGGATGGTTGTTGGAGGGAAAATGTTGTTCGTGAAAGATGACATGGAGGGAGATGTGAAGTTTTTGGTTTTGTGAATTGTAGCAGCGATACCCTTTGTGAGAGGTGTAATAACCAAGGAATATGCAGACCGTGGAAAGAGGTGCCAATTTATGTGTGGTCTGAGGCTGAAGCCAAGGTAAGCATGAGCATCCAAATACTTTGAGGTGTTCGTAGTTGGGTGGATGACCATGATAATATCTGGAAGGGTATTTGAAAGTTTAGGGAGGAGGTTGGTAGTCTGTTTATCAAATAGTTGGCCATTTGAATGGCTTCAACCCAGAATTGAGATGGGAGATTTGCTACATGTAGGAGAGTTCATGTGGTTTCAAGGAGGTGCCTGTGTTTTCGCTTAGACACTCCATTTTTCTCAGGAGTATAGAGGTAGCTAAACTCATGATGAATGCCTTGAGTCAGGAGAAAGTGTTTAAAGTCATGACCAGTGAACTCCCCTCCTCCATCCGAATGAAGTGTGCAGATGGAGGATGTAAATTGATTCTTTACTAGATGATAGAATTGCTGAAATTTTATGTTAGTTTGGATTTTGAAGTGCATGAGGTATAGCCAGCAGAAGTGAGAACAGACATCAATAAAGATTACATAATATATGTATCCAAATAGTGAAGGAACAGGAGAGGGATCCCAAACGTCAATTGTATTAAGCTAAATGGAGTGGATACATGAGTAGCTTCTTTTGGGAATGGAAGCTTATGGATTTTGGCCACTTTACAAGAGGTGTAAACAAAAGGTAAAAAACTATTACAAATAGTTGGTAGTAGCTTGGATAGTGTGGTCATCCTATGATGACGAGGATGACCCAAGCAGGCATACCAGAGGGAGGTAAAGTAAGGTGTCATGTGAAGGGAATGAACTAGATGATGAAGTCGAAGGCGAATAAGGTAGATTCCTTCCTGATTATGGCCACGGAGCAGTATTTTGTTGTCCTGAAGATCCTTAAGGACAGAGCCAGTTGAATCAAAATAAATGGAGCAGTCATTGTCAGCGGTAATTTTTGAAATGGAGAGCAAGTTATGAGCAAGTGAAGGCACATGAAGGAGGTTTTGAAGTTTTAGCTTACGGGTGGAGTCTGGTAAGGGTAGGAGTCTAGCACCTATATGCTGAATGGGAAGAGAGGAGCCACTTGTTGTAGAGATAGAGTTTTGTCCATGATATGGAATGAAATGGTGTAAATTCATAATGTCAAGCGTGAGATGTGTCGATGCTCCCGAATCGAGTACGCAGTCTGTAGTTGAGTTTGGCTGATTATGTGTAAGAAGAGCACGAGTATTTGAGATCTGTGACATATAATTGGAGTTGTACCTATGCCAGCATCCTAGTGCTATGTGGCCTGTTTTCCCACAAATCTGGCAGGTAGGAGAAAGGAGGCGCATGACTCGACACTACGAATACTACTGGCATGTGGTCGGAGGGGGGGGCGAGATCGGGGGAGGCGGGAGGTAGAAGTTGCGATCCGACAAAAGAAGAACGAGAAAAGGAAGGCATCCGGGTGATCTGGTGGATGAAGAAGATGGACTGAAGGGAGCTCCTCAACCATAATTGTTCCTGTAAGTAGATGAGCGCCCCCCTTCCTCTGGAGGTGTACAGTGCTTGATGATCTGGGGCTGCGGTGACGTCTTGCTCTATTTCTATTTGCAGGTTTACCTCCTCACTGCAGAGTATGGAGTAGAGAGATTCGAGAGTTATGGTTTGAGGTGAGGTGAAGATTGCCGCTTTGAATGGATTGTATGAGGGAAGTAGCCCTTTGAGTGTATAGAGGATGATATCCTTAGTGTCAATGCGACATCCTGCAGCGGCTATGTTGTCTACCAGGGATTTTATTTTCGCCAGATATTGTGATACAGTCTGATCTCTCATTTGGATGTTGTGGAACCTATTTTTCAACTGTATAACTCTCAAATGATTGGTAGGTTGTAGGCGAAGCTCTAAAGCAGTCCAGATTTCATGGGATGCTTTATGATGCAA